ACATTTCAGTGTGTTTTGGCTTTAATTCGAAGGATTCCAAAAGAGCTGGATGAGTCTAATGGGGATTACGAAGGTACGACAACTTGGAAAAACGCAATCTGATCGACCTGATAAGAAAAGATCTTCCGAATTTGTTGGCGAGGGCCTCAGGCTCAACGCTAAGGCCTAAAGCAACTGACTTGAGGAGTAAGTGATGACCTAGGTTAAGAGGGTGGCTGCTGGAAGATCTTATATCTAACAACAGGACTCTGCACTATGCTGCACAATCAGGAGAACACAATCATGGCTGTCAAAGAATTTCCGAAACCACATCACCCTATATATCTGGTCACCTATGTTGAAACCTACTTGATTATTATGTGTGAGGTGCAGTTGAGCGAACGACCAACAAACATATTTAACACCAAAGATAAACTGAAGGCATGGATTATGGCAGCATTCACAAACTTAAACAAGGAAATCATCCAGAAGAGATAGAGAACATTCGGAAGTCGTCCTGAGGCCGTGGTTGAAAGCCAATAGCGATTTTGTTGAATAAATTTACTCTATCGTATTTCAAGATATTTTCATGTAATTCTGGTAAATATATCTGTTAAAATAAGATATCAGTATTATTATCATTTTTGGGTTATTTACATGACAATTTATCCATCGCACATTGCCGACGCACACAAACTGCGCATCGTCTACCATGTATTCAATTGTGAAAGCAGAATAACGTACATCATATTTTTAATACTTCAAAACTCACAAGAAATTTAAATTACTCATAGGGACTTGATATACCGTTCAACAAACAAATCTATCATTGTAACCTTTTCTTCAAAATCTTGAGGAAAGTTAACGTCCTGATGATGTCATTATATTCTCTTTTTGTTACATGTGATAACCATTTTAATGAGCGCTTAAGGTGAAAGTCCTCAAGTTACATGGTTTCTTTTATTTGATAAAGTGATTCGTTTGGAGCACCATTTTACGAGATTTGAAGTAATATAGTCCTCCTGGGGGTCTACAGGTATTATTCGCTCAAAGCCATTTTTAATCATTGATCAAAGATAGCGTTATATACAGCTAAGTGTGTCATTATTTCTGAACGATTTTGGCGTTGTGCATGAAATCCATATACATGTCTTCATCTACCGAGAACTTGATCAGTGTTTTAAAATGCTTTGGCTTTGATGTAATTTACGATGTTGTGTGAAACTACATTTTGCACAGCGTATTCTTCCTCTTCCATATACCTTCTATAATGAATGTTGTATACATTCGTTGGGGTGTGGAAGAACGATTGGTGTCTGTGAAAACGTAATCGCTATGGCGATTTCCGACAACGGTTTTATTTCGAAAGAATATCTTTAGGAAAAGCATCAATGTTCGTATACTTGTGCACTGTTTCAGAGAGAAATGTCTTGTCACGGTCATGTCACGATAATTTACTCTGAAACTGCATGAAAAATCATCCTGCTTCCGATGCAAACAATTCAAAGAAACTACCAAATGATCCTTCTTAGTCAAGTCTTTTTAATTATGAAGGAAATTACAAATTTAAAGCCCACAAAAAGAAAAGCTGAAGACATTTCAAGAAACCTTCGAATATATAAGGGTCGTGATAAAATGATTGAATAGGAAATGATTTATACGCCATATTATAAAAAGATTCCTTTTTGCAAGGGACTATCTGTCGGTCTCGTTAAGTTAGCTACAGAAAACATTCACCACTGGTTTAAAGTTTCTGCATAGAAAATGAATATAAGTTCATTAAAACTTTTCTTGCTGAAATATTAACCATCGAAAAGAATGAGAAAATAACAGACTGCTGGATATTTTTGACCGGTTAATATCGAACATAACAGTTAATTATAATAAAATCCCTGAGATTGATCGCTGATATTTTCCACGCTATAAGATGTTATGTCAGAGACGACCTTACCTGGTTCGTTTCTCTGATGAAATTTAATCAAAAGATTAGTCCTCCAGTAAAATTTACAATCAGAATTACTTTTCTTTTAAATCTCAAATAAAATTAGATGTTTACTTAGTTTTTCATTTTGGATTTTGAATTCTTCACTGCACAATGATTATTTCACGATAACTTTAGTGTGTTACACTGTCTACAATTTGTTTATGTAGGTCAAGAGACACAAGGTAGGAACTGGTTTTAAGAAATACGTCAAATATTTCATTCACTCTCAGAAATATGTAAGAAATGCAGGTGATGTAACGGTTTAGTGTAAATGGAACTGGTATTCTTTTTTTTATCTATGAACCATATCCCATGCCGTGGGTAACTGTTGAAACTTAACTAATGCATGGAATAATAATGCAACACAAAATGTACTTAGAACAAAATGTATTGAAACAAGAAAGTGTACACAATATTTACATATAGTCTTTTGTATATTCCTGGTAAGACCGTTCCTGTAGAATGTGTTGACTGAGTCGCAGTCGGGCAGAGTCTCTGGTTGAATCTCTTGATTCCTCCCTCTCTTCCCGGTACCAACCATATTTATATGGTCGGTACTCCACTATGCAAATTAGGTGGATCCTACCACAACAGTAACCATGGCTATCCAGAGTAATTTTCTTCCCCTATTTAAAAATATAATTTCACCCCAAGAAAATCAATAACGCTACTAAGTTGTAAGGGGTTACTGAGTGTAAAAAATTATGAGAAAGACGAAAACATTATTAACGAAAAAGTACATTAAAAGAACTGGAATTTAGAAGATAGAAAATAACGATTAATATTCCGTTCAAACTTTTGAAGCTCAAATTTCACTGGAAAGCAAGAAGCCGGAAGCGAGTAACACAAAGGGAGAAGTACGAGGAATGAAGCTGGTAGCATATAACGTACGGTTACATCTCGCTGATGCAAGTGTAAAATGATGAGACCTAACTAGCAAACCTGTCTATATGAGATGAGGTATTATGATTACTTACATTATTTAGACTATCATCCTCATCTTCATTGACATATCCACAACGTTTCGGTAATTGAACACTCCGGCCTTCTTCACGTGATTGGAATTTCCAGTCGAACCCTTTATTTCGTCAACCGGGGTAGATTGTTCTACATTCACATGTCATGCCTCTTCTGACCACAATAGTGGTGAACAAAAAAAAAGTTTGGGGATTTGATTTAAAGGGAAATATCTGAGACATCCGTAAGAGGCATGGTATATGGAACTAAAAAAATCTACCCCCGTGGACGAAATAAATGGTACGATTCCAAATTTAAATCACCTGAAGAAGACCGGACAATACAACTGCCGAAACGTTGTGAATATGGGAATGAAGATGAGGTGACAGTCCAAATAATATAAATAATGCAAGTAACCTAGCTGCCAATCTCGTGGCACAGCGCTGAAATTCTTAACATCGAGGTACCAATGTGGATAGACCGTAAAAACGAGTACCATAAAAATGTTTGTATAAAAAGACAGGAAAGCTACGTTGATTTTTCTATAAATATTTTTAAAGTAAATTAACTACCCGCTTGTTTCGGAAGTTCTTGCGAAGTAAGTTAAAATCTCCCCCTTTCGTCTAAAAAGCATAAATTTCCATTTTCTTTTAGTTAATAACTATTTCCCTTTACTTCTCTTTAATATGTTGTCGAACTTTACCTTCAATTCGCCTCCTGGGCCTGTCATCAACAATATATCTGTATATCTTAGGGTTTTAATATGATGTCCGGCGATAATATGTTGTTGGTCCTTTCGTTCTCTTATTATCCCTTTGTTATTTTGGTTTAATAAAATATTTTTTATAATTTTTATATATATATATATATATATATATATATATATATATATATATATATATATATATATATATTAAAAGAAGAGAAAAGAGGTGCCGCTAACGTTTTTGGTTGTAATGTGGATTTATTTAGAAAAAATATTATGCTTTGTTTTACATAATTTTACGACACGAGTTTCTGGTCTCGCGACCGTCTTCAGGTAAAAGTGGAGATTTCTACATATTAAAAATAATTAATTTTTCTTCATGTTCAATGTGAAATATTCTCAATATGAGACATTCTCTGTTTGTGTGTTGGTAATCCGAATTTCTTTCTAGAATTGTCAATGAAGAGTTCTGCGCGAAGGGTCATAAAACAATTAAGGTTGGTCCAGCAAGTAGTTATAGCATTTTATCTTTTAATGTTTTAGTGATCCCTATGTGGTCTTGGATCTGTTTCCATTTTGGTGTGTTCCTGTCAGCATGCGTGTATATATGCGTGCGTATATTTCCCCTCCATACATATACTGTCTTACTACGAAGTATTCGTAAACTTATTTGTACCTATACACGCATACACACACACATACGCACATACACACCATCCCACCACAAGTAATACATTCACACAGACACACACACACACACACACATATTTCCCAAGCTACATGGAACCAGTATACACACACACACACACACACACACACACGCACACACACACACGTACTTCTTAAGTTGTCAACATCCGCATATACATACATAAATGTATGTATGTATGTATGTATGTGTACATACATATATATATCTCCTCGTGTCTCCCGTATATGAGTGTGCGTCCATGTATGTGAGCGATTTGATCATTGTATTTGGTCACCCTGTGTGCATGTTGTGTGTCTTGTGTGTGGGGTTATGATCTATTTAGTTCGGGTTTAAATTTGTTTATAAAGTTTTTTCCTGTATTTGTAGATATGAGTAATTGTCTGTTTGATATATCGGCATGATATTAAACTTACCTTGGTTACATTTGAAAATGTGTTGTGATACAAAAAGTTTTCTGTTGTCTGTCAATTTTATATTGCTTTTGTGTAGGGAGACCCTGTTGTTCAGTTGTTGGTTGATGCCTATATATGACTTCTTACATTTTGTGCATTTAAGTGCATAAATTACGTTTTTGGAGTTGCAGTTTAAGTTTTTATTTATTGTGAATGTTTTTTTGGGGTTTTCAAAAGTGTAGGAGTTTCCTTCTATAATGATGTCACAAACCCCACATCTTTTTTTGTTGCATTTTGAAACAGATCCAAGAGCACATAGGGGTCACTAAAACGTTAGCGGCACCTCTCTTCTCTTCTTTTTAATATACATACTTTTCTTTCGTTGGAACTTTTAACATTTTTCTTATATATATATATATTATATATATATATATATCTTGAGATTAAATTAGATTTTTTGTACAGATTAGTGATCATTTTATTTTAACACATGTTAAAAGAAAAAGGATGAATCTATCTCTTGTTAAGACGAAAAGAGCTTACTGTCATTTCTTCTTGGCAAGCACTCAAGTATAACGAATGACCTTGATTTCCAAGCCAGCAATCCCCCTCGTAAAAGTCGAATTGCAAATGAAACCGTACCAGCATACGTATGTTTATGGAACTACGCTTCATAACGATTCGGGGGTATTAAATATTTCTTACAGATAGGTTAAAATGACGACTTCCGGTTTTACGTAGCCAAATGACAATCAACGCATTTAAATAGTGGAATGAGAAAGCAAATTCCCGCTGGTTTCTCACGGAATTTACAACTAATCCATCATTCGTGTACAGTTGTAGTCATTTCCTTCAACAACAAATTAAATATGTCTGACAATGTGGAAAAATCTGATAATTAATCTTAGAGCTTTGACAATTTTAATCTAAAATCCGTTCTAAAATGATTTAAGACTCATTATATACGCTGTACATTGAAAATCAGAAAATAATAACAATTGTATTTAATGAGAAAGTTTAATTGCTAAACGTATTAAGGCAAGGTTTCAGACAAAATGCATACCCGGCTTAATTAATTTACTGTTATTTCAAAAATTCAAACGGCCAAATAGATTCTAGCTCTAAAAACTCTTAACGTAAATTTGTATCAACTATATTCTAATAAGGTGCATATAGTCAAGTTTTCAGACTTCCTTACGACCTAAATTTAAGTCGCTTTAGTCAATATAGTAATCTATACAATTTTGCTGCAGACTAAGCCTAATAATTACAGACTACATTTTATAATATTTAATCCATACTATTGTTTTTTATTCGATACTCCATGCGTATTTTGTGCATTTAAAATCAATAAAAATGAATTTACAATGGGGAGAATTTAATTTAAAGATTATTGTTAGAATTGTATTGGAAAGGACGTTCTCTGGCGCGTTTGGCATTATCGATTTAAGAGTAATCTCCTAATACACACAATTAAGTATTATTCTGTATAGTAAAATTTTATGTTTTTTTCTTTCTTTCTTAGCGGATTAAGTAATATTTGAAAGAATATGATTTTTACCAACATCGTCCTTTTCTAATGAGTTGAGAAACGTAATGTTCCATAATCGGTCTCAATCAAACGGAGGCAAAGAATTGTCCCTATATATATATATAATATATATATATATATATGATTGAATAAATTACAGG